GTTATTTTCCCCATTTTCAATGTTAAAACAACACTTTTTAAGGATTTAAAGATAATTTCTGCATGAGAATTGTCTGAAATCATAAACTTTGAAGGCTGATTTCTCATATATTATTCTTTAAACAGCTGTGTGCTTAAACGCTTGTAAATTCATAAGGAAATATCCGAATTGAATGATTTTTTTACCATTTTATAGCTATTATTTTACTCTCTAACACTGTATTAATAACTCAAAATCGATTTTTGCAACGAGTGACTGGTTTGGCTTGTCTTTGCCACATATTATTAATCCCATTGTAGTTGTTATTGTTATAATATTATTAATCCCATTGTAGTTGTTATTGTTAGAATATTATTAATCCCATTCTCCATATTTATTTTTTATTTGCAATTCTTTGTCATTCTTTTATAGTACTGGTTGTAATTTTCAATATTTTAACATTCTTATAAGAATTCCCAACATAAAACTGTAATAAATTACTGTGATTCAGTAAAAAATGATTATTTATGACGCACAATGTACTGGAAACAATTCTCTTTATGAGGTATTTGATTTTGACTGGTTGATTTCTCCTATGCTTTTTAACAATATCCTTTAACTTTGAAATTGAATATAATTTAGATTACAGAATATGATCAAAATGCATTTTGATTTTGGTATTTTAACTCCCCAAAATAACATACTTTCCCATACCTTATTTCGTTTTAAAATTTAGTTTTAATTTCTTCATGAATTACTTACAAGTAGAATCAAAACAAAATTTAATATTTAAAAAATGCTGCTACTGTAATACAACATTGCTAAAGTTTGATGTTGCCCTGTTTCAATTCTACCAACCAACCAATAGACTTCCACATCTCAAAAGCAATAGCCTCTACATCCAGACTGTCCCTTAGTACCCAGACATAGATATGTGCCAATTATTTTTTGTTTGTGGGGGTAAGCTGTTGCTTAATTCATTTTCAACCAAATTTTGCTTCATTTTTGTTTCATTTCATTTATATAACAGGTAAGTTATTTTTTTTTTTTTTTCATTAATTTGAGAAATTTGATCATGTATCTGAGGACCTAATTCTGTTAGATTGTTATAATTAGATTTTTCACATAAAGACTTGGACTTGAGTGTGCTCCTTAGCAACAAATTCCTGGTTTCATGAAATTATTCTGCACAATTCTAAAAGCATTTTACACATGATCACTGCACCATTGTAGGAAACAACCCAGTTTAGTTTGCATTACCCACTACATTACCCATTACACTATTAGTTTCTGTTTATCATCATCTTTGTAGGATAAACCCTGTTCAATTTGCATTACTCATTTTCGACTGTTAACATGTGCACAAATATATATTATATATTATATATTATTTGTATTATATTATTTGTATATTATTATTATTATTATTGTATTTTTTTCAGACATTTAAGCTGCTCCAAATTTCTTTCCTCTTTGTTTCCTGTTCTTATTATTATTATATTGCAATAATTAGTGCTAATATGCTAAAAATTAATAAACATAGGGGCTAGGTGCTACAACTTCTGTAAACATTGTGTGCATATTATACTCAGTTTAACACATGAGTCTTCTCATCTTCAAAGTTGAAGTTAGCTGGTCTCATGCCCATCTTTAGGTAGGCTTTCTTCATAAAGGCTGCTATCTGGATGTCTTGTTGTGAAGTTAGAAACAAAGTTGTTCCTCCCCAGTACCGCCTGATTATAAATCGACAGGAAATTTTACAGAGAGCTACATTTGTATAACATTTATTTTTTATGCATGGGATACTCAAGAACATGACTGCTAGGCATTCTCCCATTCAAATTTTCATTTTAAATCGACAGAAAATTTTACCAGCAATAAATTAATACTTTAAAACCTTGAATAGAAGCTCAATGGGCTTAATCTAGAATAGAAGCCCATCTTGAATTGAAGTGCCCTCTTTAGTTTGCAAAAGTAGCCTCGAAAAGAAGCCCATCTTGAAAAGAAACTCATGGTCCTCTTTTCAAGATAAGCATGATCTGTTTTTTCAAGATAGGACAGTACATACACTGTACATGAATTTCAAAGCAACAAAATAAATTAAAAGCACTCTTGATTTAAGTGATTTAATGCCGATTGAAACACTCCATGATACAGATTGATGTACAATGGCCCTGTTTATTGTTTTATTGGTAATTCCCAAAATTTACAGCATTAATTTTCAAAATAATTTCCCCTTTTTACTTTCCAAAAGTATTCTCGAAGAAAAGCCCATCACGAAAAGAAGCCCATCAAAAGTTTGCAAAGAAAAAGAAGCCCTAGGCTTCTATTCAAGGTTTTACGGTATATATAGTGCAAAGCCATTAACTTACTGCAAGTCATGCTAACTTCTACTTAGGATTGGAAAGGTATGCAAGCATTGATCGGTAAGACTGGAAAAGATGGACTTAAGCGGCGTGTCATGGAGTTTAAGCTGGAAACAAGTGACACTGGTATCGCAGAGAGGAGCAAGGCCATCCTGGACGAATTTGATCTGGAGACTGTTAGAGATGTCAGCGCTGGCGCTGCTGTCTTCTATGCATGGGTAAATATTTTATACTATCATTGTAATGGTTACACTGTTTTTGCACTGAGGCATAAGCATAATTTACAGGCTATGCTTACGCTGATCTTTTGAGCATGAGCATAATGACGTAATTATTATTTACAGGCATTGATAAAATGAATGTATTTTCATTAGTGGTTATCAAACATGAGCCTTCGAAAGTCCTTTTTAGGAATTTTCCTACGTGTTAATACACCGTGTAATTTGAGTATCAATGCACCACTTGTATTTAGGGACCCAGTTTTCAGATCTCGTTCTGCTCCACCGAGCTCCAAACAACTGTGAAAATCTTATGAGCAAGGTGCAACCTGACTGTTCTATATATATTTTAATAGAAATTTTAAACCCCGAGCCCCCCCAATTAATTAAAGACCGGCACTAAAAGTGGTCTTAAATATCACTAGAGGGAAATTAAGTAATGATATAATAAATATTAATTGTTTTATTCCAAGTGCTTTTTAATAGATTTACAGTTACTGTATGCTGTTATTGATTCTGGGTAGTGACACATCAAGTCCTGCACTCTTTCTGATACCCAATTTGCCATTACAATACTAATAACAACATCATCCTTAGCCTACTATCTATCAGTATGGGCCTATTCAATAGAGCCCTGTAGGTGTACACAAAACATCATCTTATGTTGTGATAGACTTACTACATTATAATTTATTATTAGGGAGAATCAGTAAAACAATTTTAAACTTATATTCTCAACAAAACAAAATATTCTCTTCTGTTAAGTTAGAAATTAAGAAATAATAAATTGTTATAGAATGGAGGCACAGCATGCTGTTGTGAATTTATTCTTAAGGATTTCCTTGAAATGCAGACATCAATTTGTGTGCTTGTTCTAAGCAACTTTCCATTACTAACACCACCACTACATTATCATAATACTAAGTATACACAAAACACACACAAAACCATCTTATGATGTGCATTGGCTAATATTTTTATGTTTTAAGCATTAACATCACTATTTTATAGTGGCATTTAATTGGAGGGAATTTTCATTTGGGTCCACCAAAACCATGGTCTGTGGTCTATAATAATAGATAGAGGGAGTCTTTAATTGGCAGGAACAGCTAATAGGAAATTAAATGGGACCAAAGAAAAGTAGTCTTTAATTGCAGGAGGGGTATTTAATTTCAGGGAGACCTAGCTGTAGTTTAATTTATTACAGTACTGTATTGTCCACTTAATTGGATAGGTCCTGCAGTGTTCTTTAATTAGAGCACCATGTGATTATTCATGTAAAAAGCCTGACAAAGTCTCACTCTACATTGGTGAATGAAGTCCAGGCTTTTCATACTATGGGTCTCAACCCATGAGGGTAGCCAGTCTGTTGCATTGGGTCACAAGTAGATTTTCAAGCAACTTTAAAAAAGGTGGAATTTTAAAACAAGGTAGCTTTATCTAAAATGATAATGGTATCGATTTGCTTTCACTTGTATTTTTATCCAGGGTACTGCTACCATTGAAGAAATTATTGATTACCACAACCAGAAAAAAGATGGGGAAGATGTCAGTGGAAAAGAAAGTGGTGCCAAGAAGACAATTAAGCTTTCCACACAGAGTGGTACACTCACAGTTAAAATCTAGCAGTAAGGTACAATGTCAAAACAGCAAGATGTTTTAATTGTTTAAATAATGAAAGTAAAAATGTTGTATCTAAATTATATGTAAAATTAAATGAAGCTAGAGATTTTTGTTGAGGTGGGTAGGGGTTGGGGTGGGGGTGGTTCTACTAACAATTTCAAATAGTTTTAATCAACATTGAAGTGATGAAGGTGTACATATCTAGAGACATCGAAGAAGAAAACAAAATTTGTTTTAATTGGCTTTTTTCCTTAATTGAAATACAATGTGTTGTTAAATAATTGTGTGTGGTTTTAATTAATTGACAACAATATCTTTAACTTTAATTATCACCTTGATTGACGTATGTTTGTAAATAATTATGAATTCTGAAACAGTTTAATTGTCTCCAAATCCAAATATTTAGATATATAGTATATTTATATTTAATGTTATTTAATGTTTTGTACCGTATATACTTTTACAAATTACTAATATAATATCATTCAGTATTTCCACCAAATTACAGTAGTAATATGTGTAATTCCATATATTAGTATAGCTTTAATCATTGGCGGATCCAGAATTTTTCAAACAGGATTACTAGATTTAAATATGGATTTTATGAAAGTAATTTTAGACAGACTTTAATAAACATTGCATCATATATTCAGTGTATAGAATATCATCGTTTTGTGGTAAAATTAATGTTTATAATAATATGCTTGGTATATAATTTTAGGCTTATTACTTTTATTCATATTGTATATAAAAATCAACATTAAAACAATACTAGAGTTGTCTTAATGTGTCCGAGAATTGTTAAACGTTTCCTTCAGAACCATTAGCAGTTTAGTATGTATGTTTACTACTAGTACTACTGAAATAGCCGATCAGATTCAACGCTGTTTTTATACTTTCAAAGACCATGCTGTGCGTAAACAGTGCATAGGGATATTATTCTGACATTAGTTCATTATTTATTATTGTGTCGACTACATTAATACTAGACCGACTACCAGAAATTTCAGCCTACCCTACTAAATACGCCATAGCTTTCACACGCTTTCATCCACAAGCAGTGTCCACTGCTTTCGCAACTCGCGAAAGAGAAGTCAAGCATACAAACTCATGTAATCAGTTCATGTAAATGTCTTTAAATAGCGCCCTCTATAATGTCTGCCTTAATTGTATGAGCAAAAAATCTGTCTCTTATACACATCTAGATGTGTATAAGAGACACCCATTTCAAAAATCCTGGATTCGCCCATCAAAACACATCAAGCCGAAGACTACTTCATCTCTCTCTCTACAAATTGAAAATCTAATCTATTAGCCACGCCAGTCAAATGAATATCCTTAATGAAAAAAAAAAAGACCCCTCAAAATTCACCCCCGATAACAGCTTTAAATTCTCACTTAAAAATATGCTTTTAATGTCTATTCCAGTAAATTAAAGCATCCCTACTTATTTTTTCGCCTTCTTTATCCCTATCCATTAAGTTTCATCTTTTGGGACTATATTATTGATATGTTCCCCGATGTTAATATTATTGCTGATTTTGCAATTATTTCCACAATTGTTTATTTTATAATACTCTTTCTATTAGGCCTATATTTGCATTTCAATTAATATAATGCAGTGCGTTTTTGCAGTCACTGTAATTCTTTTGTTCTTATTGTTTTATTGTTTGCTATTAGTTTTATTAGTGTTACTGTTAATATTATTTTGACCTTTGTTGATATTACTATAATCAAAACTGTATTATGAATTTTTTAGTGGGTTTGATACGGAGCCCCTGGGCGGACATGGCTAGAAAAAAAAGTAAATTATTAAATTTATGATCGTGTGTCGCAAAAGCACCCATGCACCGATACACCCTCACACCGCACACCAATAAGAGACATATTCATTTAATTAAGCATGGATGAAAAATGACGGAATGTAAATACTACAACAGAGGTCATAATTCGACTCCGTTACGGTACATAGACCAGATAAAGTACAGATAAAAAGTTAAAACTAGATGAAAACACAACCAAGAAGATCTTCACTTCCCCCACTTTTCAAAGTAGGGGGACTCATATCGATTGTTTTAAAAGTGTATGGAAAGAATAACAATTACGCATGGTAAGTATTTTCCGGACCAAAACTAAAGTAAAAACGCAATTGTTTATACATTTCGTAACCATCTCAGAAACACTAGATCGATTTCATGGGTGCAGCGGTTATCAGAGGCTAAATTTATTGTGAAAACAATGTACTCAAGGTTGTTAAAATTGGAAGTGTGTATATTTATTAGGCCAGTGTTTTTACAAACTCAAAAGTGCACAATTTCTACTATAAACGAATATCCTTTTGTATATTACGGTATTATGACCCTTACCCTAATTTTTAAAAAAAAATTGAAGTTAGTCAATTGAATTGGGATGAAATGAAAAATAAAGGCTTGGGCTGTAGGCCCAAGCCTAGGTTGGGTACCCCCGAGAAGCTCTGGCGCCTATAGCCTTTTAATTGATTTTAAGCAATGCAATTTACATTTATTTCCATACGAAATTTTTAAAATATCCAGTGGCGGATCCAGTAATTTGAAATAGAGCTGGGCTCATGAGAGAGGGACTTTTACAGATGGAGAGTGTAGGGCCACCTCAGCCCCATCATGCATGGTTGGTGCTGAGGTAAGAAAATTTATGAATGGCACCTCTAGTTGGTCGGAAAAGGCACTCTCAGACTAAATTTGAATATTATTTTCATTTTTCTCCACTTTTAAATTTCGGAAAAAAAAATAAATTAGGGATGGCGGGCCAGCTGGCCCCTTGAATCTGCCACTGAAATACTCATCATAAAAAGTTTCCAAAATTATCCTTTTAGTCATAACTATGCCCGCTTATATATTTCGTGCAAAATAACATTCATAAAAATAATGATTTATTAACTACTGATTAGCTTGTGACGTATTGAAAATTCGAACCATGAAAAACAAATAAGATAAACTTAAAACAGTGATTAATTTATTCTTTTTGCATGTACACTGCTTTTAAAATCAATCAATAGATTTTTGCTTTTCTCCCCTTTTTGAATTTCACTTTTGTATTAGTAATATTGCGACTACACTATTGTGAGTGGAAATAATATCAGTGTATTGTCAAATAAAGTGAGATCACCTCGACCTGACGAAATAACGTAAAATTATCAGTCATATACATTGCTCCAAAAGCTCCAAAAATACGACATGGTTCTTCTTGCAACATTTTCGTTTAAGAGCGAGAATAGCCTAGCAAAAGTGTTTCACGCTGACATTAGCTGTTTTTAGGTCATTTTTTGTCTTTCTACAGTCGTATCTCAGCAAATACTTGTCGGATATTTGTGTTGCCTTCTGTATTTGAAAGGCAATCCTTTTCTCATTACTTTAGTATTTGTTTCAATTGTATTGCTTGAAAAAGTCACCGTCATTTTTCACTTTTCGATTGGTGCTATGCTGACCGCCCACCTGATGCTTTCTAGACGGAATCGACGTTAAGGTAAATAAAACTCGACAAAAAAAAACCTGTTCCAAAGGTATGTTTGCATACATTTTTATATAATTTGAAACATCTTACTATAATCTATTATACTGTGTATGATGATGGTGATCACGCATACAGATTTCAAGAAAAATACAAAAGCAGCATTTTGCATACGTATTTGTGACAGTTTTATGTACTTATATTAAAACATTGATACAAACCAAAGTTGTCAGTTATTTCATTTGAAATTAGTGTCAGTATAATCTTAGGTAAGCATGTGGTTAACATAAGCAAGAATTTAGTCCAATGAAACTGTTTATCATCTTGATACCTTCCGAAGAAAATTGACCCTACCGGCGTCACCACCGTTTTATTCATTGTACCAGGGACAGATTGCAATATACGTAACCCCAGATTAGATTGTGATAAATCCAATGTGGTTTATATGATTTATTGCAATAAATGTAACAAACATGCGTATGTATATTGGAGAGACTGGCACTAAACTAAAGATACAGACTCAATAATCATTTTTAAAAAAATCTTAATTAGAGCTAAAAGTAAGGGATTTCCCGTAATTTACCATTTTATATCATAGGCAGTGACTACAAAATCAACTAAAGATAGACGTTGCACAGAGTAGTTACGGTGGATCCTCCGTATTAAGTCACATATTAAGGGACTTAACAGAAATATTTGCTTGCTAGTGGCTACGCTTTTAAGAACAACTAATTACAACCAGCATTTTCTTATTGTTATTTCATGGTTATTTTACTGTTATTTTATAGCTCATGGTTTACCTACTTTGTAATGTTTTTAATCATTCACGTTGAAGAGAACAGCACGAAATATTGGAGTGCAATAAAATACTTATGTTCCTCCAATACGTCAATACGTCAATAATAATAAGATTTGCATGATGATTTGTATTTTTAGGTTTAAAAAACACAATTTCTGCTCAGGTCCTGAAAAAGTTGGTCTAGATGTTTTTTTGCTTGGCAGCTCAAGGTCACCCACGGTGACCACCCCCCCCCCCCCCCCCGCC